GCTGCAGTGGGGCGGGAAGGGACAGGCAAGGGAAAGCTGGAGGCAGCATCTTACTAGGTGTTAGTGGGCAGGACAGCTGACTGAAATGGCCCTCCTCCGCAGACTGTGTGGTTTGTCCACCCCACATCAAAACTGTTTTGATTAAAATGATTTCTCCCTGAATCAGATTAATCCTAAATCCAGTCAACATTCAGTCTGTTGCTGTTGGGACTAGAAATTTCACAGGACTGTCTGTGAAAACAGTCATTTCATCTACATGGAAAATTCAGTCACTGATCCTGCATTTACAGGTGCCTTTGGTTTTGTGTGTTGTAGTTAGTCCTGGTGGCTTCAGAGCATAAAGTTTACGCATGCGCACAGGCTCTGCTGGTACTCTTCTCTTAGTATAAGGGTTCACAGGGCTCCTGCTGTGACTGGGACCACTCGGCTGGGTGCTGTCCAAGCTCAAGAGCCAACCACTTCCTGTGAAGGACATGCCATGCTTGTAACTATGAGACTAGTTTTAATCCCGTTAGAATCTCTCCATACTGAGCTCTGCCTTGGTTTCAGCAGACCCAGGCTCAGAGGTGTGGTCTGGTCTTCTCAAGGAAAAAAATTATCATCTCGTGAACTTTTAAGCGCATAAAGAACCCTTACCAGTGTGAGCAGCGTTGGAGTCATCAAAACCATTTGCATAGTGAACACATTTGTGTGCAGTGTTTTTGAGGTTTAGGGAAGCGTAACTGGGGCTACCTAAGTATACATGTCAGCGAAAAGCAAATTTACTGTCAGCTTGTGTAGTATTAGTACCAGAAAAAGCTTTTCAAATTGCATACTTAACACCAGTCATGAGGTTTAATTATCATATATTCTATGGTTAGAATGTGATTTCCACGAATAAGGAACCATATAAACACAATGTGAACGTTCAGGGGCTGACAGGTAAAGTCCTGCACCCAAGGGTGAGCTATGCTAGTTAAAAATTCAATGACTATTTGAACTGCAAGACAAAAACTTTTTCTTTCTTTTGATTTTGCAGCCAATCTTATAGAAAATAATTTAAAACTTCTGTCACTTTTCAGTAAAGCAGTAGCAGACAGCTGAAAGATTTTTCCTGACATGATACTTATTAGTACGATACTTATCAGTTTTGTGTGTTTATACAAAATATGGTGCATGTCATTTTTATACACATAAAGCTCCAAGCAATCTATATCTCATATATAAATGAAGATAAGTCATCCTAATTCATAAGTATTAATGCTGTCTTGTGGTAACTGTAAATAAACCAAGCTCCCGGTATTTGTATCTAAGGTCTTAGTGATGCTTTGAACGTGACATATCTGTGTATGTAGACTTTGGGTGTATCTACCTGTCTATCTAAAATATTTTTAGTAGGGATTCATTTCAGCTCACTTGTCTTCCCCTGTTTTTTGAATATATGTATATGTACGCATGCACTTTTACCCACACATCAATAATTACATGTAATACACATTTTTGTACATATATATCTGTTCAGATGGCTCAAGGCTGTGGTGATCAAGACTTTCACCTGTGTGAAACTGCTGCTGTGCTTATTCTCGATTTGCACTGTCCTCTGTTTCTCTGTCTTAAATGCTGATGATCAACCAGGTTACTCCACTACTGGCTTTGTATGTGCCTATGCTGCACAGAGTATCCCCACAAACTGGCAGCGTTAGTAAAAGAGGCCACATTTCCTCATCCTTCAAGGAGAGCTTGGAAGAGAGAACATGGGATCTCTTGTGAGAAGAGAAGATATTTCGTAGCTTCTTAGCACCTGTTGCTCGTGGTAGCAAATGGCCACTAAATCTTAGCTCAGAGGTAGCTCTGACCCTTTCAAAGCAGCAGGCTCCAAGTTCTGAATTAATACAGCATCAAATGCTGTATTCCTCGCTCCTGCTGCCCACCACGGATGCTTGTCACAGGCGCCTTCCTCCTAGCCCCAGTCAGCACTGCATTTGCATTTTTCGCTGCAGTTCTGAATTACTTCATGTACCCCACACCAGATGTTTCTCAGCTTTGATGTCAGCAGGAAACATTGGCTGATGAGGACCCTGATGGATGCTGCTCCTTATTTACATTTTAAAGCAATCAAAAAACTAGCCCTTGATTTCTTTCCGTTGTTAAATCGTGACCATTTGGGATCTTCAGTGGTATTCCCATTCAGGGCAAGGTCTCCTTGTATGCTGGCAGCGTTTGCCAGGGATCACGGGACATGCGGTAGCTACAGTAATATAAAGATGTTTCACTGGTATATAACTATGAACCACAGTATTCAAGTAGCCAGTCACCCCTCAGTGATTCGAATTTACCTGTGCAACATCAGCGATAAGGATCATTTTCTCTGAGAGGGATTTTCCAATGGAACTGTTTCCATGGGCATTTCCCCACGTTGTTTGTGCAGATAGGTGAATCTCTCTTCTCACGTGAGCAGCCAGGTTCTTGTTTTCTCTGTGGCAGCACATGGGAATGCCACATCTAAGAGAAGCAGATAGGAAAGAATCAAAGGTGGGGGGTGGATCAGGAATTTGAAGATATTCAGGGAGAGGGTTATATATCATCACAGTGATCCTTAACCGCTGATAAAGGAGCAGAGGTGTTCCTCCCCCTGAGGACCTACTTGAGGGCTCATCACAGTAACCCTTTCATTGATCATTCAGCTATGGTGGGTGAGATTTCATGAAGTCCCACTGAATTGGCAGTTTCTGCCAGAAAGGACTCCTTTCAAAAGCATCAGTTTTTGTTTCACTGGCCTCATGTATACCGAGTGCAGGACATGAGACATATGCTCTTAGTCAAATTGTAATTGTTTTATGAGTCATCGAGGCAAATTTGCAGAAAGCCATGTGTTCTAGCAGAAAGTTTCAGCTTTCCCTCCTGAGCCTGAATTTGTGACATTTCGGAGAAGGCTGCAATACAGTCAGAACATGCTATGGGACTCAATTGCCTCATGACAGCAAAATACTCCTGTTTTTCTAAAACTACCTATATCATGTTCCAGTCTCCTCAGGAATCTGGAAACTGGCTGCACTTTCATAGCATGATCAGGGCAGGGGCAGGAAGATGCTGCACTGATACTCTCAGATGTCTGCAGGGTGGCTCGTCCTTCTGCAGGCACAGCAAAGGATGCTGTTCTTGCATCCTCCAGGGTGGATCTACTGCTTCAGAGTTACAAGATGCTTGATGTGCTGCAGGCTTTCCTGATCTGAAATTCCTGTGCAAAAAACTCCTGTAGAGACTAGCCCTTGCCCTTGAGAAGACACTAGTCTTGTGCATCAGCCCCGCACACTGCTGGCAGTAATCATGCTGAGTATATCTCTCAGTGCACACTTCTGTTCATTTTCAAGAGTGTTTTGGTCCTTGACATAAATGTTCTGCTTTTCAATGGGCCTCATGAGCATGTCTTGCTACCCTTTGCATGACAGGGGCTAGCAGTGTTTTGTAGTTTCTAATTGGAAAACCTGCTTGAGAAAGTTCTGAGGGGATTTTCAAATGCAGTGTGTCCTACTTTTTCTTGGTATGAAGTTAATCTATAACTTTTAAAACTAGAATTGCCCTGTCCTTGGCTAGAATGGCCACATCAAAGTTGTAAGGCACTAAATTGCACAGTGAACAATTTATTTATTTTCCCTGCTTTGCAGCCTATCCTGGGACTTTTTCACATAGAAGGTTTCCGAGATGACTTCAGCACGCTTCCTTGACCATGACTAACAAAAGAACATGTGTCTTGTCTGATTGAGCTATCTGCTACGCAGTGTCATTTTACAGTTCACAAAAAACTGATGATGCGGAGCACACCTTAGTACCTTCTGAGTGGGTGGGTTTCAGTCATGTGCAGGGAGAGCAACCTTGAAAGGTGTAAGTGGCTTTTCATTTCTTTTTGAACAAGCTTTCGTCTTTTACAGAACTGGTAGGTTGATCCTCTTCCTTTTAGGCCACAACTTAAAGAAACAACCTGTTTTACAATGGCTCTGTAAAACAGATAAACTAATTGGTTTACTTCTTCAGTATTCTGTGAATTTCTCCTTAGGGACCTTTGGAGACGATGAACCAGACAATTTGGACATTAACTGTTTCAGTCAGCTGGAATTTAAGGATTCCTATAGCAGCTTGACTTGCAATCTTACAGAGCTGCCTCCTCACAACACTAACTATATCCTGGCTGTGTGGTAAGCGATGTCACTGCCTGTCCTTTGGTAAAACTTCTGGGAAGCCTAAACGCAGAGAACCAGTTAATCACACTGACCTATGCTGGGAAAGAGGATTGGAAAAAATAGACAAAGTTCTGATTTGGAGTGTTGTGCCAAGTTTGAATACTATATTCAGCAAAAAGTAAGAGTTTAATGAAACAGAATCTTATCCCCAAATAAGAAAAAGAATTAGATGAAAGGATCTGTAATGTGCATTATAATGTCTGTAATAGTCCTGATCTTACTTCTGTTGTTTTGGACCGTATGTTATCACTGGTGAAGCTGAGCATACACAAAGAGCATTTTCCTTCTAAACTAGATGACAGTCAAATAAAACAATGTAGGAACATTTTTGAAGAGGCAGGTCCTTTCTACACAAAATTCTTTGGTGAGAAGCCCAATTTTCCACTGAGGGGAAAATACCATTATCTCATTCAAGATCAAAATTAAGCAATTGTCTTCTCACACATAGACACACAAAAATACACACTAGAATGAGTATACAAACACGCAAGCAGCTACCAAACATGTCAGTCATCTCCACTTCTATCTGAGGGCATGAAACTCTTTTCCACCTTGTTTTTGTCACTGATGGACCTAGCTGACGAAATTCAAATTTTGTTTATTTTGCATACTTTTGCTTTTCCCTTTCCTGAAACTGAAAGTATTGCGGCAGTCAGCAAAAGTGGATTTTTTTGTCTTTTGCATCTTGCTGTTCTAATCACTACTTATTTTCAACTAGTTTGTTTGTTAGAATTTTTCTATTTTCTATTTTCATGGCTTTAATTCTGGGGTTTGATTGAAATTTTATGATAGTCCTTTGTCACAGGAGTCACACAGATGAAGGAACACAGATATATTTATACCTGTGAAATTGTGCCACTGATTTCCTTACAGCCTGGCTAAGTGTTGGTCCTGTATTTGCTTCCACTGCAGTCAGTTAGAAATTTCTCATTGCCTTCAGTGAGTATCCAAACATACTGCTCTGTATTTAAAAATGGCAGCAGTAAGATCATGTTCAAAAATACATTTAAACACATATATATCCAATTAAATAATGGCTTTTTTTTTTTTCTTGGAGAGCTCCAGGACTCTTACTGTGGTTCACATTGCTTGATTAGTATGCTCACGGACTGTGACTAAAAACAGTATCAAACTTTTAATGTCTTCATTTGCATGATATTGTTTCTTATTTCTTATTTATATGGAATCTCACTTCAGTTAATGTGAAATGAACAATCAGAATTGATCCCTAACTGTTTTATAGTAAGACTGAGAGAAAACTAATGTTGTGTCACTTTGGTCCACAGTACCAAGGAAGACAGAAATTATGTATGTTCCAATATGGAGAAACAGGAAGATGCGTATTTCTTGCAATTCACTGATATACTCTCAAACAGAGACGTTTGCATGGACTCTGGGATAAAAAGAAAAATCTGCAGGAGTCTGATTGTAACTGACATTGGTAAGACACCTAACATTTTGCACATAACATATAAACTACTGGGAAAAAAGTAGTCCAGCACAAAAATTAAGGATTAATCCAAATGAAAAAGAGGTAACATAAAATAGTATCCTAGGAGAGGATCCGTGGTTATAGCGGAGTGTGATGTTCCCCTTCCTTCAAAACCAAGCACGGTTAACCTCCATTCAAAAAGTGCAGCTGAATTCTGGCTTATTATAACACTCTGTTTGCCCAGACCTTGACGTAGATCAAATTGTATGGGTATTCTGGGGCTTGGATGAAATCTCAAGAAGGGACATTTTGTTAATCTTTTACTAGGACTTCTGCAATTTCAGGGCTGACAGCTGAATGTCTAGTGCAGCCACACTCTTAATCCCACACAGGGCTTGTGAGGTTGCACGATTTCCATGCCTTGCTTCTTGGTGGAATCAACGGTCTGAAGTAGATGTTCATGATCCCTGCAGCACAGAAAGGACACTGAGGGCCCACGAATGGGTTTGTCGAAGCCCCAGCGGGGAGCTGCTTGAGCTAAGAAATGGGGAATTCAGAGGGAAGAGGGGTTGCTTAGGACTTAACTCTCTCAGGAGTTTGTCTCATTTGAGGGCTGTAGAGAAGCCCTTATAGGGCTCTATTTTCTGCGCTGAAGTTGCATTGATTTGCCTTCTTTTGGCAGTAGACGCTGTGATGTCCTTTGCTTATAAAGCATGGGCTTTACTGGGCCAGTAGTTTTACAATCATTTTATACCTCATGTCAGTTTGTGGACCAGCCTGGACCAACTTACTGTGACCAGAAACCACCTAGAAATGCCCCCTAACAGAGCCACTTTCCAGTTGCTTAGTGATTTGCCACAGTAAATGCATCATAACACTACTGCATAGTCAACACTGGCTTCTTAACAGCTTCCACGGTTGAAGCTGTTCTTCAACACCGGTCCTTAACAGTCACGGTTACAGCTCTTAATGTTGAAGAGACAGCCATGGTGACTGACAGGTTACTCCTTAAAGGGAATTTAATAGACTCTCAGTTGAAGGCAGAAGTCTCAGAGCCCTGGTTAAAGAGAACAAATTTCAGGTCTCCAAGCATAGCTAGTGCAGGGGTGCGGGATGCTTTGGCATTATTTTCCAAGGACTCAGTGTCACAGTCCGGGGGAGTGCTGTTCCTGCCGCGAACGCCGTACCAAGGAGCTCCTCTGCCACAGTAGATGAACACCAAGGCCCACTTGGGACTGGCGTGAAACGAGAAAGTGGAGCTTGTCATTATGCTTGTCCAGATCAGGCCAGACGCACACTATCCCTAGGTCACCGGGAGCGGATCGAACTTGGAATGGACTTTTCTAAACCTGTTTGTTTTGTAGTAGCATTAATCTGCTCCTGTTATATCCTGTTTTGCTATCATTTGCAGTTAAGCCAGAAATACCATTTGATATAAACATCACATATCAAAAGGAGGCAAATGAATATCTTATTCATTATAGTACCCCACACTCATGGAAGAAATACTTAAAGAACAAATTAATACACCAAATAGCCTATCACCAGGAAGAAGGAATTTGGAAGGTAAGTGACAACGTAGGCATGCTTACACTGATTTCTGAAACTAACATGACCAGAAATGCCAATGTCGTGTAAAAAACCCAAATCTGCACTTTTGCAGTTCTCCAGTTGAAAACGTCGAAAGATGTAATGCTTGGCATTGAAACATTTCATTAGTTGAAACAATTCCAGCCTGACAGCAACTTTGTCTAATAGATACTTTTCTGGACTACAGAAGCTTCCTTCATTTGTACTTGTGCCTTGCAGTGAAAATTGAAGAAATAATCAAGAAATAGAGCCATCCTGAATATTATTGGTAATGATGTTTGCTGTGATGGCCTTGTTCTTATTTTCTGTGCCACCAGCACCATTTTTCTGTGCCACCAGCACCATTTTCCAGCCAGCTCTTAGTTGGCATTTATCTCTCTTCTGATTCTGTCCTGACTACCTGGCTATCGAGCCAGGCTGATGCTGTGATGATCACCTTTACAATAAGCAAACACACAAAGCAAACAGTAGAGGCCTGCAAGGACACATCTGAACTCACATCTGTGCATAGCTGAGAGTTTAGAATTTCAAAAAAATATGTATATATATTTCACAGCTTGGAGTCTCTCCTTCAGCTGTAGCTATAGATTATCATGTGTTGGGACCCTCTTCAGAAAATTTCAGGCTATGCAAGACCAGCCAAAGAGTTTCTGCTCTTTGAATGAAACCCACTGTCAGCTGTTTTTCTCTGGTCTTTCTGTGAAATGTTTAGAAAACTTCTTTGCTAAGATGGTTTGCTTCTAAGTAATATGGCTTGGACTTGCATTTTGTTTAACCTGAAAGATGCTTTTTTTGTCTTTTCTAGAAAAATTAATGGATTTTTGTGTGTGTGTGTGTGTGTGTGTGTGTGTGTGTGTGTGTGTGTGTGTGTGTGTTTAGACAATAGAGTCTCCATATCTGCAGGTAAAATTACTGGGGAAAAATCTTGAAAAAGATGCATCATATGAGGTAAAAGTCCGTTCAAAGCCCAATGGAGATTATTTTAAGGGCACATGGAGTGACTGGAGCACTTCCAAGAGCTTCAGAACAGCAGGGGAACACTCCACAGAGAAAGGTAAGGGCAGAAAACATTTTTTTCCATTTGTGAGAAAAAGCTCAGCCTGAGCAGGTAGAGTTGGGGCCCTCACGCTGCGATCAGTGACACCCTGACTCCCTGGCTGCCCCAGCAGTGGTGACGGCAAGAGCTAGGGGAGGGGAAGAGCATTGCCATGCCCTGTGGGAACTGAACGCGGCCCCGGGGAGGGGTGTTGGCTGATGTGAGCTGGTCAGATGCAGAGGGTTTTATGCAAACACATCACTTTAATCTCAGACACGATACAGGACAAAAATCTCATCATTTCACTTGTGAGCACAGAAAATCCTTCCAGTCCTTAGAGTTCCTTCAGGCTCCAGGGCCCTCAGGGCTCCTCGGCACACCATATAGTTCAAAATCACATCAGTGCTGCTGTAAAGATACAGCAAGTGACAGCTTCCTCATGCTGGAGGCAATAGCAGACTTTTTGAGCTGCTTTAATTCAACCTGGGAAAGCAGTTTAATGTTCAATCAAATGTTGAAAATCTGAGAGCTTTCCTCTCTCCACCTTCAGGGAGTTTGGAGAAACTGACTACTGCATCAGCCTAACGATAGGAAAATGCAATGTTGGGCATTAATTTCTAATTTAGTGTCTGAAAAGACATTACAGTTACAGTGGCTAACAGTGAGGTATTTATATGCAATAGCAGATGTTCTTTTTTTTTCTTTAGACACTGACTTGGTCATGATTATACTTTCCATCCTGGGATTCATTTTGTCAGTTGTCATGATTGTCCTGATCCTAACTTTTTGGGAAAACAGGTAATCTAAGACTTTTTGTGTCAGAAAAAGAGATGGAAGCCAATCCTATTCTAACAGTGCCTGTTATACTTGTGAACTGTTCTCTTTCCATCTCTGGGCCTCTATACCAAGCCAAAAGCAGGCAAAGAGTAAAAGAAGTGAGCAATCAAGGATAGAGTGCTGGCAGGCAGAAGACAAGCTGTTATCCTCTACCACTTTAAGAGCGGATTTCAGTGTTGAGCTTGAAACACTGGGACCTTTTGGGATCTGAAGCCAGCACAAAACACTGTGTCAGTGTTTCACTGGAGGCACATTTGACTCATGAACCTCGAGCAAGATTCAGAAAGGACAGCAAAGCATGGCTTTTAGTGAAGTCCCAAGATTTTTGAAAACTGTTTAGTGGAGAGATTGTCTCTTTCTCTTTCATATGCTGAGTCAACAGGATGTTCACACTTTGACCCCTTCAAAAGCAACGTGGCAGCTCTCTCTGGGAAGAGGTCTTGGTGTTGTCAGGCACAAGCCCAGCCTGCTGCAGGTCACATTTGGTGTGATGAAGCCAAGCTCTACCTCCCCCTCCGAGGTGGTCAGGGAGGAGCTGGTACTAAGGCTGTATTTCAGAGGCAGTCTTTTTGCTGTTTTTTTTTTCATTTGTTAGCTACAGTGCAGTAGATAGGTATCTGTAAATATAGTAAATGTATTTTAGAATAATATAGCTTTACGCGTTACATATATTATATATAATACATAGCTAATACATACCCAGAGAGGTAGTGGAGTCTCCTTCCCTGGAGATTTTCAAAACCCGTCTGGATGTGATCCTGGGCAATATGCTCTAGGTGACCCTGCTTGAGCAGGGAGGTTGGACTAGATGATCTCCAGAGGTCCCTTCCAACCTAAACGATTCTGTGATTCTGTAATAGACAAATCTAAGAAAATAAATAAATAAATAATCTGGTGGACCTAGAATCTGAAATGAGAAAGTCTTAAGTCTAGCCATAAGAGATGAACCACTTGCAGGGAAAATGCCCAGGGCTGTACTGTGGTGTTCAGACCAGCCAATGCAAACGGCCACTATCCGTAGCATCCACCTCTGCCAATATCCAGAGATATGGACAAATGCAAGCTGCCTGCTGCGGACGATCCTTGGGCTGTGCTAACTCCTGCGTTACACGTGGGGATTGTCTGGAGATGTGCTAGCTAGGCCTGCTCAAACCATGCCATTGACCATTCTAATAATTAAACAGCATACACATCTGAGTTGTCTGTCAGGGAATGCTCCTTCATGCTGCTTAATTTGCTAGTATAAATGTGACTTGACATTTCTATCCCTCGCTTTTAGTGTTCCTGAGCACCTGTAATTCTCCTGACTTTGCTATAAGTTCTGCATGTATAAAAAATCTCTGAAAAAATCACATTTTAGACAGTGAGACCCTTTGAGCCCAGAGGTCCCCTTTTTAAAAAGCAAGAGGGTTTTCATATATGTATTTGCACAGACAGATATAAATTCAGATTCATCTGTATCTGTATCTATATCTATATTATCTATATCTCTGCAACACTGCGTGTCAATGAGGCTATATTTTTTAGATGCAGCATAGCTGAAGGGTTTGAGTTGCACAGCAAGAGAACTTTCTTAATTAAGGCAATAAGATGACACCTATGGGACAAGGCTACAACATAGATGTCTGAAGCACAGACAGTTGGCCAGGGAGTGGGATAATGTGCAATTAACCACAGCAGCTTGTTCCACTTGCAAAAGTTATTTTTGCCATACAAAACCCAGTTAACATAGCCATATTTAAATGAGACCTTTACTAGCACAATTTGCTGCTTTTCCAGTAGTGGGGAAGTGTCTTACTTTAACCAAGGCAATCTGTGCATTCAAAAGAGCAATGACTATTAGGTGACCTTTATATCTCAACTTCTTTTCCTGCCTTTATTGTATTCTGAGCCTTCTCTTCCGTTTACTCTGAGTAATGTAAGCCACCCCTAAGACTTTGCAAGAATTAGTACAAATGATGCAGTATGAACCTCCTACATCTCAACATATCTCTCTTTGGCTGTTGTTGAGCCCCTTTTTGTCTACCGTTACTGTTTCAGAATCAAGCCCGCTGTGTGGCCAAACCGTTCTGATCATAAAAAAACTCTGGAGCAACTGTGCAAGAAGCCAAAAAACGTATGTACTTCTATTGTTCTTATTACAAGAGTATAGGCTATTGGGAACATAAGTAACATCCGTGACACTGTGCGCATTTGCTGCATGGGCTAGGCCATCTTTCAGAAATGGCTTCTAAGTTTCATTCAAGAGAGGAAGCATTTGCACAGGCAGATGCTGTTGAAGGGTATGAGTATAATAGACAGCTCAATGACCTGCCTGAGCTGAGTTGCATAAAAAAACTATAGCATGTTAGAGAACTTGATATAGGCTGACAGGTTAAAGGAATAGGGTTTGCTCAGTCTAAAAAAGAGAAAATTCAGAGGTGAGCTAATGATAGCCTTCCAATACCTAAAAGGTAGCTGTAGAGAAGCTGGAGGTGCTCTCTTCACAGGGATGCATAGTGACAGGACAAGAGGAAACAGACCCAAGTAACTTCAGGGGAAATTTCAGCTGGGTATAAGAAAAAAAAAATCTTCACTGTGAGAACAATTAAACATTGTGTAGGTCACTGAGAAAAGAGTTAGAAACTCTGTCTTTGGAAATATTCAAGACTTGGCTTGACAGAGTCCTGGATAACCTCACCTAAGGTCCTGCTTCTGGCAGAAGGTTGGACCAGATGGAATCCAGAGGTCACTTCTATCCAAGACTTTTCTGTGAAGCTATGATCATGGGGCTGGATGGGGGGACCTCTGCAAATGTAGCTGGCAATGCTCATATCCCCTCATAGACCAACAGAACTACTCATGTCCCATAAAGTACATGAACTGCTTTTTGCCACACAAAGGCCTGATGGATAAATGTTACAACTGTAAGGTTTGTAGCAGTTTTTTAACCAGTTGACTTACAACTACACCTAGTGTATTTTTTCACTGAGAAACTCATCAGTGCTAGTTTGCCAAATGAACAGCAGTCTCCATTTAGTGCATTATTAGCAAGTTATTAATTTTCAGAGGTCTAAAAAGTTTCTTTTATCTCTTGTACTCTCTAGTGCAGGGATCCCTAGTATGTTTCAGGAAGTCATGATAAACATTTCTTTCCCACAGGAACATAAAACTGAAAGGAACCGTGTGGGTCAACACATGCATTCCTATGAAATGACAGGTGCGCAGTAGATATCTGGCTCAGAACAGTCTGTAAAGCAGTACTATCATGCTGCACAGACCATAAAACCCTCTCTGGCGCCCCTGCCTGGAAGACCCCACTAGATAGATTTGAATTATAATGGGAAAGGATTTTGAGCTAGGTCATAGCTAATTCTCTGCTAACCTGTTGGTCAGTCTGTTCAAGGGTAGTTCTAGAGTTAAAGAAATAAATACCCTTCTAAAATCAGATGGATTATCAAAGCATCTTTTCTATTAAGTCACTGCCCACTGTTAACTGACCACAGTGTTCCTTTTGCCATGCAGAATTTTGATATAAGCTTTAACCCAGAGAGTTTCGGTTATGTTCATATCCATAAAGTGGACGGCATTCAAGCAAAAGCTGAAATGGAAAGTTTTCTACAGCCGCCAGCTGCTCCGCAGGCAAATATTTCAGAAAAATTTTGGAGTGGATCAAACCTGAAGATGAGCTCTGCTGGGATAGACAAAAGCAAACTAAACCTGCCTGTGACTTACGGAGGAATCTGGCCAACTGAAGCTTTGAATGGACTCTTGGGTAAAAGCCAATTTCCGGTCATTGAAGAATTTAGCAGCTCCAGCATGTACGAAGTCTGCCGTAGCAATGAGACGCCCCTGTGTAGTGATGGACCTGGCCTCCATTGCACTCCTCCCTTGGGCCCCCCAGGCCAACCCAGACCAGAGCCCATAAATGCTGACACGGTATCCCATATGCAGCCTAACAGTGAAATTAGGTCAGCAAATAATGAAGACGCATATGTCACAATGTCCAGCTTTTACAATAATCAGTAAACCATAACAAAAACAATGGAATACTGTTTTTCTGTAACAGAAGCAGGATACTTTTCTCTTTTACTCTCCTGCCTCCTGCATCAGAGTAGCATATCTCTGTAATGCACCTTTCTCATTGTGCAATGCTATACTTACAAGGAGGAGGATTTGTCTGCATTTCAGCAATCTATGGCCTAACCTCCATTCTCAGCGTGCCAGTAACAACCTTCACTGCAACAGAAATGAAACGTAATCCACTCTGACTTTAATTTTCAGATTTAATTAATCCACGACAATGATACTGCACTTCTAGCTGAGATTCATACTGTGTCTCATAAATGTTGGTGAACTCTTCTGTTGACCTGTTGGTTGAAGAGTTAAGCTCTTATTAACATCTACACAAGAAATACGGCAACAAATGCAAATTAAATAAAATCTGATCTCTTTTAAGCTGAGGTAGGTCAAGAGTAAGTCACCTTCAGTTGGAGGAACTCTGGGAGTTTGTGAAACCCCAGTAAATGAGAACTACTATCAAGCATTAGTTGTCCAGGGATTCAGGAGCTTAATCACTGTGAAGGGAGCTTGCTGAGTCCCCAGGGAAAATGGCACATGGAATCACTTTACGAAGACATTTTCTCAGAGTTATTTTTTTTGGAGAGATCATGGCAAAGTAAAACCTCACATATAGCCACTTTTTGCTTTTGGTGAAGATCTGCACTGGAGGCGATTTTAGGCTCTTTAGGTACTTGTGCTATATATTAAAGATATTCAGTAGTTCATTACTACCCTTTTTTAGTTAAGAAAATGGAACAAAATCAATGAAAAGTGAAATCCCAGCCCTTCCTGTAAACCGGATTGGACCTGCAAAAAGCATGACATTGTCTTTCTCTGCATCCCTTGTGCAAGCATTAGTGCAGCATGCGAGTAGTTTCCATGACAGAAAGACTGAGCTAGCATGTTTGTTCACTAGCATTATTCCCAGTGCCTGTGGCTGCATGAGAATACGTTGAACTTGCCGATGTAACATCTGACCTAGGAAGGGCAATGGAGCTTCATGGATCCTGCCAGTGACTAGAAGAGCTATATTCAAAAGAAAAGAAGAAAAGAAAAACGCCATTGTACCTTGTAAAGATGATGCAAAAAAAAAAAAATCTCCTTGAGGTTCTTACTGAGGAAGGCACCTGTCCCTGAATCACAGAATCTCAGAATGGTTGAGGTTGGAAGGGACCTCTGGAGATCATCTAGTCCAACCCCCCCTGCTCAAGCAGGGACCTCTAGAGCATATTTCCCAGGATCACATCCAGACGGGTTCTGAAGATCTCCAGCGAAGGAGACTCCACAACCTCTCTGCGCAACCTGTTCCAGTGCTCTGTCACCCTCACAGTGAAGAAGTTTTTTCTCAGCTTTAGGTGGAACTGCCTGTGTTTCGGTTTCTGCCCGTTGCCTCTTGTCCTGTTGCTGGGCACCACGGAGATGAGTCTGGCCCCATCCTCTTGGCACTCCCCCTTCAGATACTTGTACACGTTGATGAGATCCCCCCTCAGTCTTCTCTTCTCCAGGCTGAACAGGCCCAGCTCCCTCAGCCTTTCCTCATAGGAGAGATGCTCCAGTCCCCTAATCATCTTCATAGCCCTTCGCTGGACTCTCTCCAGGAGCTTCATGTCTCTCTTGTATTGGGGGCCCAGAAGTGAACATAATACTCTAGGTGGGGCTTCTCCAGGGCTGAGTAGAGGGGAAGGGTTACCTCCCTTGACCTGCTGACAATACTCTTGCTAATGCACCCCAGGATACCATTGGTCTTCTTGGCCACAAGGCCACATTGCTTGCTCATGGTCCACCAGGACTCCCAGGTCCTTCTCTGCAGAGCTGCTTTCCAGCAGGTCAACCCCCAGCCTGTACTGCTGCATGGGGTTATTCCTCCCCAGGTGCAGGACCCTGCGCTTGCCTTTGTTGAACTTCATGAGGTCTCTCCAGCCTGTCCAGGTCCCTCTGAATGGCAGCACAGCCCTCTGGTATATCAGCCACTCCTCCCAGTTTTGTATTGTCAGCAGCAAACTTGCTGAGGGAGCACTCTGTCCCTTCTTCGAGGTCACTGATGAATAAGTTAAATAATACTGGACCCAGTCTTGACCCCTGGGGGACACCGCTAGATATAGGCCTCCAACTAGACTCTATGCCACTGACCACAACCCTCTGAACCCTGCCATTCAGCCAGGTCGCAATCCACCTCGCTGTCCACTCATCTAACCCACACTTCCTGAGTTTCCCTATGAGGATGTGATGGGAGACAGTATCAAAAGCCTTGCTGAAGTCAAGGTCCTTCCCATCCCCCTTTTCTGGGCTCTGTACCCAGCTCCATGGGGCTTCCCCACATGCTGCCACACAGAAGGCTGTGTCACTTCACAGTCCTTCTGGGATGCTACGCATTGTGAAGCACACACTTGGAGATAAAGCTGCTATAGCCACAGGGTTGCATGACAACCAAAAGGAGTGTGGCCATGGGAAATCCAAGCTGCTTTGGTATGTTCTGGGATTGGGGTTCATCTCCCTGTGACCTATTAGTCCCTCTAGCTGCTTTAAATTCTCCTTTATCAAAACATATTCACATTCCCAGGGTCATACAGGGTAAAAAGAGACCTCTCATCCTCGGAGCTGCTCTAACTTGTTCTGACTGGCAATAACCACTAAGAAGTCATTGATTGCTGCAGGAAAACAGCACTCTCAAGATGGTACTTTACCTTCTCCAGCTCTACTCGATGTTATGGGAACATTCAACCAGGGCCAACTTTATGGTCTCTGTGTGCAAAAGACTCAAGGATTTGGCTCGAGGTAGTCCAGTGATATTTTGCAGAATTGTTTTTATTGCTGTTTCTCACAGAATAGCGCATTGATTAACACAACAGGAAAAGATGAAAGCCCTGGACATTCATTTGCTTTGTAATGCTTTATAATGCTTGTATTTCATTTAAAAATTTTCATTTAAAAATAGCTGCTAATAATGCTTGTACTATGAAGACTTGCACAGTGCAATTGTAGATGCAGACAGATTGTGTTGGAAATATACTCTGTTCTGGTAACTCAATGACAGATAAGAAGGAAATAGAGAAAGAAGCGAAAGTCCATCAGAAAACCCCTGTACAGTATGTACTATGCTTATTTGGAACTCATATATACACTTTACAAGATTAAAAGGGACTTCATAAACATCTATTTGCACTATTTAAACAGTAAGATACCTGTAAGTAATGGTCCTTCTGTTTGTCCAGAAAGGTATGTTGTTCTATAATACGAGAAGAATATTATAAACGTGATGTTTATTTACTTTAATTACTCTGAAATAGCCATATTTTTCCTATGTAGTAGTCATATTTTTGCATAGCTGCTGAGGTTTAAACATTCATTCTATTTCCTATGTCTTATTTAATTAGATAACATGTATCCTTGGTTTTATAACATTTTTACCGTATTAAAAGGACTGGCTATTTGCACCACATATTTATTGCACTCTGATTCAGCCTTATTGTGCTTATGTGTCAGGATAGCCTTACTCTGCTGCCACTGAAATTAGGATAATGCTGTGGGCTTTAGCTAGGTGGCACGAGGCCGTGATGTGCCTGCAGGGAGATTGTACAAAGGACACAAGTTCGGCTGCTTTGGGGGGTGGCAAGGCTGTGACATATTGCAGTCAAACTGCTGTACCCTGGCTGAGAAGGGGCTTCACAAGCACCCCCAAGCTGTGCCCAGGTCTTGGATTATTTTTCTCTCTCCCCCTTCATCACCACCACCCTGAGAGCCGAAGCACAGCTAGATTTCCACTTCTTCCCACTTCTGTCTCACTGACAGTCGGCCAGCATAAAACCATCCCTGCCTGCGTCTGCAGCGCTGTGGCCAGCGCGGGGGGCCCTGGGGCTGGAAGATGGCATGGGGCCGGGTGGGCTCAGCAGTCGCAGCACTGGGCCACATACAGTTGCCAGAGAAAACTGGATCTCTGACCTTGCTTTTCACCACGGAAGCCTCTCTATAGCCTCATTTACTATGTTTTGCACTGTTTGTCCTAACTCCCCTTCCCAATCTACCCCTCATTACCTAGGTAATCGAGTGATAACTGAACTCTGGAACTTGGGCAAGTGAACGTGGTGGTTTGCAGTTGCGGCCTCTTTCCTGTAAATGGCTAATACTTGCGCAGGTGAGCTGGAAACATTGAGCAGGCCTCCACGTGCAGAGATGAATCCACACCAGGAGAACCAGCCAAGGCCATAAGCCCTCAGGCTTGCAAGAGCATAAATATGCATACATTAAAGCAAATTCACATACAGGTTATGTCCTCAGAAATAGTCCTTCATTAATACACTACTGAATGCTGACAAATATGCAACTAATAATAGAAAACGAAGAAGCTTCTTGTTCAATATGTTCACTCCACTGTAGCTTTTCTTAATGAATGGTGTAAGCTAATTCATGCCAGATAATGGGGGTTACTTTCTCCCACGAATGCATCTGAGCATATTATAAAGTCTATCTAGAAGAGTGTATTTTCAGGAGAACAGTGACCAGCATAGACAAAATGAGGCGGGCTAAAGGTTAGCAATAAAATTCCAAAACGAGCCTAGCTCTCAGAAACTGTCACGAAAACGGTTAACTGAATCACATCCAGCTGCTACCAGGTCAATGCCAACAATCTGGTCCTTACAGTGGTTTCAGCCAAGTCCTGTCAGGCTAAAGTTTTACAAGTGCTAAGTTCCTACCAAAATAATTCTGCCTGGGGATTAGATTTTTTTCTGAAGTATGTAAAGACTAGCATGTCTCCTTTTGCTTTGAGAGTCTGACCTGAGCTATGGGAGCTACGTCTTTTGTAAAATTGGTCACTGACTATTTTTCAGGGACTGAGGTAATGATATTTCAGTGGTCCCAATTTCACCATTCCTGAACTTCATATATGATCTTACATACAAAACATATTTGATGGGCATACATAGATACAAAACTGCTTAATGAACAGCTTTCAGTTTCCCTTTAAAAAATAAACATCCAAATATGCACCAAAACAAGCTTTTCTGGGCCAAAACCAAATTTCGGTGCATAATATCTATGTAAAGATACAGCCATGTCTATGTCTTGATAGCACTGCACTTGGTCACACCATCTGAGCAGTTTCCTTAACCTACAAGATAGAATTTCCCCCGCTGCACTTTACAGACTTCAGTCTGACTCAGTATCTGCATCCTGGTCTAGCTCAGCTTTCGTGTACTAGATGCACTTTATTTTCTTTAGTATAACCTTCCTAATTCACACTTTTCACCGCCTGTGCTATGCACTCAGCTATATACGTTAGTTTACGCTTGAAAAAGAGCTTGGTTACCCTGATTTGCATGTAGCTGATTTGTGACACCTCTGTTTGGCAGCTGCCTGCTCTGTTGGTAAGTACCTGTCAGACTCCTGCTGCGGTTTTCGTGCTAATGATACACCAGTCCTTCTCCCTTGTTCATTCCTGTCCTCCTCTATTTGCAAGTCATTTGTCTTATGTAAACAGCCCCTAAGAGCATACAAATACTAATCCATGAATTAAAAAGTCATTCCTCAGTTGTAATACTGAGTCACAGCCTAATTTTAATGATGCTGAAAAATATTAATGACTTCCCAAGGTGGTATTTGCCCCCTGCTGATATTATTAGTTTGTTTACCAAATCTCTTTCTCGTGCACATGTTCATTTAGAAAGGCTGACAAAATACATTTTTGCCTATATCAGTAGGGTGGCAAAAGGCTGGCTAAGCGTGATCAGATACAGGAACCATTTCTGCTCAAGGGAAAGAAAAGTTTAAATGGCTGCAATGTGGCGTGAAGTCTGGGTCATAAAATAAATGGTGAGTCAAAGACACCCTCAGTTTTCAGCAAGATACGAAAGGCCAAATTTCCTCATGGTGTGGTTTGACACAACCGAGGTAGCTCTGAGACGGCTCTTCTGCCCACAGGGGAAACGCCAGTGCATTCGACTGCCCGGAGATGCGAGGCCTCACCCTCTCCCTCGGGCTGACGCTAGTGAGCCCGTGGCCAAAAAGTGATGCAGATCACAGCTCTCAGAGCTCACCGATAACGGCATAGGATCTCGGTTTTGCTAACTCAGCTCACCTTGGGGCAGCCCAGCCACCCCACAGCAGGAGCACGGGGCTGCATTCGGTGCAATGGACAGGACAGGTCCTTTCGCCAGCAGGGCTGGTTTAGATAGGCAGAAGCTGACCTCAAAACCATCCTTTCTGGCACTGAGGGATCTGCCAGTGCTGGCAAGGTATTTGTACAGGGTAGAAGTTTAACTCCTTCTAGGCTTCTTGCCAACGTGTTTATTGACTTGAAGGTCTGTATTTATACAGTAATATTGCCATCCTGGGCTGAATAAGGGTAGGTCTTTAGTGAATATGCTCTTGGCTTGTGATACGTATCATTTTGGTTGTGGGTTTCTAAAGCTCTCTTTTAAAATTAGCTGGAATGTAACCTAACAGAGACTTGAACTGTTAAGAATTATTTTAGGGTCAAATAGTCCCTTTATTACTGTGATCACAAAGCACCCCAAATAAGCACTATATAAATCAGACCACTGGCAAAACAAATCTAATGTACAGACACACAAGAAAGCAACTAATGATGGTGGAAACACAATTGCTAGTTTATATAGGCTGTCACATCCCTCTGCTCACTCAGCAACTCTGAATCTCACTAAGGCCGGCGATTTCTTGGCTTTTATGCGCCACCTGTTGAACACGTTAAGCCACATGCAAGTGTCCAGCACTGGAACACTTTGCTGGTGTCATTAAACCACTTGGCTCTGAAAACGTATCTCAGGCAGGAACTTGAAAAAAATCAAACCCATGCTGAGGTTAATAGTATTTCATATCTTTATAGTCTCCGATTCCAAAGAGATCAAGGCAAACAAAAACAAAAGTCAGAGTTTCCAGGATTTCTTCATCATTAAAATGAAGTAGGCATCACTATCCACAGAGGCACTAACTCCAGCGTAGTAATTCAAAAACTCATCTTTTGTAACCTAGGAATGATAAAACCAGAATTAAAAAGTCGCTGTGGCTATATACTGTAGCCCAAAGCAGAATGTTTATGTAACACATTCCCAGATTTTGAAAATAATTCTTTAGAGTCTTTCAGAGAAGTCTGATTTTTATGTCAGATCGTCAGCTAATCTGACATTAGGATCCATTGCTCCAGCTAGCTCTCACATTGCATTTCATCCAATGACACTGAAGTCAATGGAATGAGCTTCTTGCATTTGGAGACAGAGCAACTGTTGTGTCCTGAAAAAATGAATATAAGAAATGTTATTCCAATTATTGCTAAATATTAACAGCACAGCTTAGATGACAGTAGAAAATTAAATTAGTCCAACATCAGCACCATCACCAGAAGAATATAAAAAACCCAAAGGTTATTCAAGCAATAAAAGAGGAGAAATAAAAAAGAAATGCATTTTGGAAATGTCTTAAGAAATAAATCTATAGTATAAAATCAAAGCTACTCTAAAATGATACAGTATTATTTTCAGAAAATCGAGGTAAAACAAAAAAATCAACAAATTTGGAATGCTAACATATCAACTGAAAGTAAAAAAAAAATGCAGGTCTTGGCAAAAATATTACGAGTTTTAAATGAAATGCCTGTGGAAAATAAACATTACTCGCATTTTACCAAAATCTGTTTTTCCACAGAAAGCTAATCTTGAGCTAACTTTCAGAATACATTGCATTTCCTTTCTTTCTCATTTTGTCTTGTTGTCAAGATTTTAAAGAAAGTCAGGATCCCATCACCATTCTTCAGCTGCAGTTCCTGGTGGGTTCAATAGGAGCTCTGAAAGCTGATAGAGAGTCTCAGTCCAGTTTTTGCTGGACATACAGCCTCCCTACCTAGGTTCAGTTGAAAATGACAGTGCTAAAGCCTTTATTTCGTGTGATGCTCTAGTCTCATATTACACCTGTTGGTGTGAGAGCTCCAGATTTAAAATCAGTGCTGAAATCATTGGGACTTAAAAGTGTTCAGAGCAGAACACGAGGCAAATGAGCACAATCTGACGCTGCTTCAAATACTGAGGCAATCAGCCACCCGAGGACTTTTCATTCACTACATTCCACTAGGAAATCTGGGTTTTTTCTTAGTTTTCCCTCCTCAGATGGATACGAGAAAGGACTTCTAGAGAAATAGGATGGGCTACGGTCATAGATAAAGTCATAGAAAGTTGGCCGTTGCCAAAGGCAGCAGGTTTCTCTCAACATTGTGGCTACCATGGAAAGCTGAGCTTGCTGCTGCTGCTGCTCCACGGCAGAGGACAGGATATGGGAGGAAGAAAAAAATCAGAAATCACCACGCAAACTCCTTCTGTCAGCTGATGACAGCAGATGCAGCAAGCTCAGCTTGCTCAGCTCTGAGATCTGCTCTGCCTACTCTTTTGCCAAATTTTGAGTCAGTACTGCATAAAAGATATTACATAAAAGCAACTTGCTTTCATATACCAGTGTACACACTTGGTTTCATCTGCAAAAACCTCAGCTACTTCCATCTGCCTGTGCTAAAATAGTTTTGTGCCAGGAGACCAACAAAATTAACCAGCTCGATGAATATACCTTGTGGTCTAACTTCAAGAAATATGTGCTGCAGGACAGAATGTGAACCAAACAATAATTTTTGATCATAGGAAGCCAAATGTTTCTCTCCAGGCCAAAAATATGAAGCCAAAGAATACACTGAGACCCAAAAGGCAAAACCAAAATGAAGTGAAAGAGGTTGCAGGAGTGCTGAAAAGTGGTGACTCCAAAAGCATGGCCGTTGGGCAAATTTGGGACCCCGGGTGTACGTCTTGAGGTTCCAGCTGGGAAATGTGTCCCTCCTTACTTGTCCTTATCCAGGATGTCCACACATCTAGCAAGCAAACCATTTAGCTGCCATTACCCCTACTTCTTCACTTGCCCGTTGATCTCTCTGCAGCGGGATGCCGCACACTGCCTGCACACGCGAGAGGCTCCTGTGCTCCCTGCTGAAGGCAGCCAGCTTTCCCTGGGGAATATGCTGAAGGGAGAGGCTGTCCCCTGCCCCTCTCCCTCCCATGTCCTGTGCCTGCTCAGGTGGCAGTGGTCAGAGATGGTTTCTAATAGCTCAGGCAGAAAGAGGTGGGAGAAGAGTTTGGGAAGGCACAAAGAAGACTTTTCCTTCTTTGGGTGACCACAAGTGTCAGCCAGCGTTTTGAGTCAAAGCTCCTGTGCCCTGCCTGGCAGGATGGGCAGAGCTCAGCCCTTACAAATGGCTCTGCTGCAGGGCAGGCTGGAGCTCATGGCACATTAGCAGGCAAAACATTTGCTTCTTGTATTTCCCCACAGCCCTGCAGACTCAAATGTTGCTATGGTTTATGCTATCCTGTTTCACTTCTATTGCACAATCAATCAGAAACAAGAAATAATGTTAGAATATGAAGCATCAACCAAGATCTTATAATCTTGATTCTAGTGCCAGATACGGTGGCATGCATGCCACCTATCTCCGAGTATCTGCCATGTGCACTGTGCAACCATGAACTTGGCAGGACACCCTGTACTGCTGAGTCCGTCTACCGCATCTGCTGGGTCTGTATGCAGCGCCCAGCAACCTGCAGCTTAGTGCAGACTCTTGAACTTCATTTTCAGCTCTTCATGTCCACAATGCAGCACCCCTAGCAGACAAGGATACTGAAGTGCTAAAGGATGGCTCTAAGCACCTGCCTTGGTGCACCTTGATGCCTGGTTCAAAGCCCCTCACTCTAATTTGTCCTTGTCTTCTGCAAAGTGCTTCCTCTGAAGTTCACGCATGGGTGCCCACTGTATGATTATGGCTGCACATGTCTCAGTAAAGATTTTCCTACTTAGCAGTCAATACAATGCCTATGTTTCTTTCATGATTTTGAACACATATTAATCAAATGACATTTCTTATAGCACAGATTCCTATTTGTATTCTACTGCATTTGTTTACAAGTAAAAAATATTACATATTTATCTTTCCTAGACTGTTTCTTTTTCCTGAAAGCAAAATACATCTTTTCTGCAGCTACCAATTTTTCTTCAGATTGCAATTCTGCCCCCACAGAAGTGAAAGGAAACTTTGCCACTGAGTTCAAAGAAACCTGAGGCAAGCCCTTAGAAATGTGCTCTGTGCAAATTTTCAAAATGATATAATTATGAGAAATGGCCTCCTGAATATGCCTAGAAATGTATCCAGCAAGTCATGAGATCTACACTTAGGCAAATCTGAAGAGCTGGGACCTGCTCAGAGAGAATTAAGAAGCTCCTCAGCCACAGTTCATCACAAGGATGAGCCACATCACGAGGATGAGTGTAGAGCCTTCACTCAAGGACAACATGGTCTGAACTCTCCTCATTCACACCTTTCAGCTCGCCTCACAAGACCCCATTAGTCAAGCTCAGTGCAGAACAAAGAGGGACATGCCACCCTGAAGCACTGAGCTTTCATCAGCCGTAACAGGCTTAATCCAAGGTGCACAGAGGCCAGTGACAGAGCTTCTGCTGATTTTAAAAGAGTGTACTTGGGGCCGGTACCACTGTTTGACACAAGTGCTGACCCTCCTTCCACAAAAATCCTTTTGAAAAGGTATATTGCATTTAGGATTATGTAAAATTAGAAAGGGTCAGTACAGAACAGACAAACTTGTTAGGAGTTAGTTATTCAGATTAAAATTTCCACAGTGCTTGAATAAATGTCAGCACAACAGATCACTGTGGAGTCTGAAACATTTAGACAATGTATGTCATCAGGAAATCATTTTCTCATTTTGTGATTCCCACAGTCCATTAACATTGCTTTCTTTTTATTTGAAAGCTACTAAGTAGATAATATGACAGCCTGTTGTGGAGCCAATTAATAACTGAGAAAGAAACAGGTTCTGCACAAGGTGCTAGTATGTGCAAAGCCTCTGATAACAAGTTTTTTTCATATAAGGCACATCATAGATACTTCAGTAGCATCACAGTAGGTAAAGACTCCGCTTATGACTGATGGCAAACATCACAGACAGACTCTTTCCACCAGTTTCCAGTGTTAAACAGCAAGCAAGTTTCTAGAGACTTACGGATCAAAGGAAACATTGATCTTGTATAGCCTTTGCTAAGAAATTGCAGGTACCTGTTGCTTGTACTGAGAGACTGTTTTTGAACGAAACAGAAAGCAGAGTCTGTACAGGAGCAGAATATCAAGCATTCAGAACTTCCCTGGAGTCATAGCTTGGTCATAAGTCAGTATAAATATTAAAAAGTAGTAAGTAACTTTCGTAATAGCAGTGTACGGACAACAGCTACCACAGTAGTTCCAGGACCAGTGAGAAGAAAACGCTGTAACACATGTATGCCCTTTTGAAGAAAAATGTTAGCAAGGTAATCTTAGAGTACAGAAAGAAAGGAATCAAAAGAAAAGAAAAGATATAAGAAGGTCCACAGAGATTTGGACCAGGGCATGTGCACAAAATTGCTGGCACAGCTGTAAGCAGTGGAGAAAAAAAGGTTTTATAGAGTCTTCAGCATTTATATTGGTCCCTGTCTCCCCTTCTCCATTTGTTTCCTCCTCCAGCTTCCCAGCACTGAGAACTCGTGTATTCCCAGCACTGAGCTGAACATTTGTGCAGTTGCTCCATCCCACACGTGAGGCACAAGAAGCTGAGAGACACTGTGGTGCTGGGGGAGAGAGGAGTATGTGACCCTCTGTGTCTATTGCTGAGCACTGTAGAGGTTGGTCCCTCATGGGTCGGACTTTCTCATATTTGTAACAGTCTGCCCAAACCATAAGCTTTCCAGAATATTTCCTTCTCTTACATCCTCTATAAAGCACAGCTGTAGCTAACAGTGGAAATGGGGACCTGCTGCAGATGTCTGAGAAGAAATGAAAAGCTTGTCTCAGAGAAGAAAACACAGGTCAGGGATGCAGAGAGAAAAGGTAAAGGTCTGCAGAGCGGCTGGTTGCCCGATCTGCTCTCTAAGGATGCTGCTGACGCTCTGAGGGCGAGCCTACCAAAGCAGTGCTTCTGGCAATTATTTCTACAGCTTGACTGTAATCCGCACAGCGACTGGAAGCTGCTCTTATGCAAAATGAGCATGTTGTTGTGCATACACTTAATTGTGTGGACCTAAAAAAGTGGAAATAAAGTCTTGTTCCTTTAATCGTACAGTTAGAGTTTCCAAGCGTTTTTCATCATGACGATAAAATAGACATCTGTGTCTATGGAAGCGCTGACTCCTGCATAGTAGTTCATGAATTCTTCTGTTGTGACCTGAGGCAGAAGGATTTAAAACAGGAAAATGAACCTTTATTTTCTTCATGTTGTAATAGGTAAAAACTACACATTGAGAAAAACTCTAAATTAAACCTTAACATCTGCTATTTCACATTATTGCTGGTGAAAAGGAACCCAATAGGAAGAATGAAGGCAGTGAAAATTTGCAGAAGTTCACTTCTTTACTAGAAGTAGCATGCCTGTCCTCCAGCTATGCTTAGATAGGAATTGAAGATGCACAATTAAACTAACCTTACCAGGAACTGAAGTTAAAATCAGTGATGCTCAAGAAGAAAAATATTGTTAAGCAATTTTTACAGGGATGCTATCATTTGGTTCTTTGCATTATCATTAATAAAAAGGGATTGGGTTTCTGGTGCAACCCAGATATAGCTAGGAGCTTTATATCCATTCACCAGAGAGAAAATATCATTGTTCCACACAGGTCTCATTTAAAGAAGTGAAAAATCTTTCAAATCCCAAAAAGTTTTGAATATTTTTGATGTACATTTTGGAGCTGAATCTATTTCTAAAAGTAACTAGATTAAATATCAATTTAAAAAAAACAGATTTAACAGGTACTACAAATAGCAGCCTTTTAATACTTGAACCATATAGGTCATTCTTTGAATAAAACGTCACATACAAAAATATTTACCCCCATAGTGTTTAGCATAGTACATTTGAGAGCTAGAAAAAATGTGTGACAGTCAGGAGAACTGACCATTTTAGCCTATCCTGCCATTACAAACCGACTACAAGCATCCCTGACCCTGGCTGTTTCAGAAGCACTCAGCAAGATTACTGTAAAGAGGACCTTTCTGCATTTCTAGCAGCTGCACAGCCATGAGGCGTTTCAGCTAAAACTGCTTTAGGTTTTCTCACTTGGTCAGCTACCTTCTTGTAGCCTTTTGTAGGAATCATTTGAAGCTGTTTGTCAGCAAAACCCAGATCAAGTCTTCAGTGCTGAAGTCAAGGAATGTATTTCCATTTCAGGCAGAAGTTTCATCTGGACAATTAATCTAACATGCCCTTGGTTTTTATCAGTGACATGGCAGATTTAGGCACAGAAAAGCCATGTTCAGTTCTCAGAAGAAACTGTACCTGGCGGGCTAATATCAGGATTGCTAAACAAGAGGTAGAGGAGGTCAAAGTAACTTCTCTATAAGCTCAAAAACTGCAGCATTTACAAAGTATAAGGCATTGTGGAGGCCAATTAGAGATACAGTGGCACTAAGTCTGTCAAGAATCATTTTGGGGACTCATCTTGTTTAATGTTTTCATGAATGACCTCAGCACAAAAAGCAGGAATGTTCTCCTGAAGTTTGCTAGAAGTCACTGCCGCTGCAGACAAGGAAGGGGACAACTCACAGAACTGGGTAATTCTGAGGATGACGTAACAGAAAAAGGGATGAAATTCAGGTCTACCAGGTGTGAAGTCATGCCCAAGGGAAATAAAAACAAACACCTCTCTACAAACTGAGAACTTGCCTGTTGGAAACAGAACAAGTGGAAGATTTGGGTATAGTAGCCAAGCATTAGACAGGTAACAGCGACCAGTGTAATGCAGCCACTAAAAGCCAAGTGCAACCTAAGAAAGACTATTTCAGAAGAGTCACGGAAGTGTAAAGCCATTGTGCAAAGTTCTGATGAAACTTTAAATGGCTCGTTATTATGAATAGCTTGGACTGAGGATATCGATATGGAAATAGCAGACAGATCCAGGCTTGCTCTGAGTTGGTCAGACCCATGCAAGTTTGGATCAAAGACCTTTGCAGACACATATTGAGGGGGAAAAGAAGTCTGAATGGCTTGGAGATTGAGAAGGTTATGAAGTGGATGCAAAAGACATCCACCATAGAGGGTGACCAGGTGTTTGAATTGGAAAACTTTGGCTGAGTGGTAGGCAAGGCCTCCCAGCCCTGCCCCAGACCAGCAGTTCCTCAGGGCACAATTCTCTCGGCAGCCTCAGGTCATTTTGGCAGCCCATTTCCAGCTCCCACTTCAGCTAGAGCTCTGGGACTTCTCTTTTTAATTCTCTTCAATTCTCTTTAGATAAATCTCTCTCTATTATGCAGTGATTTCCAAAGTCAATCTTTTAAGTAATTACACATATTACAGAAGCACCAAACATAAAGTATTTCGGGGAACCTGCTTCTGAACTGGATCCTGGTTTATATTCTCCTGGGATGTGAGAAATCTTCTAATTTACATAGATTTTGAAAATTAGCAATTGTAGTGGCTTAGTTTGAAGATATGCTTAGAGTTACTTATGAAAGTAGGGCCATAAAGGCTACAAGCCTGCAAACGCAATCTCTTGCCTAGCTTTCGCCACTCCTGCAGATTACTTTTGCCTCTGAATGCCTAAGCAAGCTTCACTAATAGTCCTAAGCATTGATTATGCACCTGCCTTACTGTCTTCCATGAATGTGAAATAAATGCCCTGCAGATGCATGTTTGGTACTGGGATCATTCTTACATATAGTAATTTCAGCTGTGAGTCAAACGTTGTTTTCGTGGCTTCACATTAGATGTTTCACTTACCTTCCCATCCTTGTCATAGGGTGAATCAAAATTATCTAGAAAGGCCCTAAACACTTGATCTTCTGTCCAGTCTCCATTCTGGTATTTAGGATGATGCTTTGCATTATAAACCCCCCGTAAGTCTTCAATTGTTATGATACCATCTCCAGTTTTATCTAACTTCCTAAATGCCTGCATGATTATCTCTTTTCTGGCATTCGACATGGGAGGCTGTAAAGAAATATTAACAGATTCATTACATTTCTGCCATCTACTTGCCCAATTCCCAATTCCAGTAGCTGCTGTTGTTAATAGTAAATCTAGTTCAAGCACTTGAAAGAGCAAACTACTGATAGTTTACATTGTCCGTGCAATAGAAAGTACAATATATTATCAAAAAACAGTGTGATGGAGTCTATTCAGTGTCTATTAATAGGCTGATAAGTAGACAAAAAGAGAGAAATGTTTCCCGGAATACTTTTCTATACTATTAATTTCAAATATTTTAACAACAGTAAGCACTAAATATTTTCTCTTTCTTTGCTGTGTAGACATCAGCAGAACAAACGGTCCCCAACCAAAGTTGGTCATGCTGTGTTTAATTAGAGAAAACCTCCACTGGATTAGCTTATGTTATAAGGAGATATATTATAAGGCAAAGGATAGGGAAGCAAGGTTAACAGACAGAACCACATAGGTACCTGAACTGCAGTATAGGTGGAATTTAAGTACCTAAACCAAGGCAGTAATTTGTAAAAAAAAATCACAACCATTTATTTACTAGGAGCCTTAGATTTTGTCAATATATTGCAGAGACATGTTAGGTTCTGTGCTCTCTTATCCACAAAAGGGTCATTTGGGGCAATTTTTCCATTTAGCGCATTCATTAGCATATGGAAATAGAATGTTTTATCTACTCAAGAGTTGCTGACTTTTTAAATACAACTGTAGATTTTGCTAATTACTGATATGAATATCAGTACTGTACTTAGCTAGCACTGATGATGTTCAGCTAAGGATGAAAGAGGGCTTTTTCTCCATTTAATGCAGCAATACCAGAAATTCCCAGACTTACTCTTAGTGTAACAAGAAACTCGTCAAAGTCAATTGTTCCACTGCCATCTTTATCAAATATCCGGAAAATCTCTTGTGCTTCTTCCTTGTCTATCATCATAGCATAATCATTTAATCCTTTCACAAATTCTTTGAAATCAAGGGTCCTGCTGTTGTCATCATCCATAATCCGAAACACTCTGTGGAAAATGTGCAATTTGAAGTTAATATAACAGAAAACTTAGAGAATGCTGCAGCAATTTAGCACAGTGCCAAAGCACAGGGCCACCTGACTGAGATAACGTTTCCCTTTCTACAATCTTCCGAGAAACAAAAAGAAAGAAACAAAATAAAACAACCTTTTGACAGCAGAGATGGCTTAGACGGGGTGTCTGAATTTTACACAGCTGAAGTTAAATGAGGCAGAATTTACCCTAGCTGAAGGAGTCTTCCTATTCACTATATATTACGCCATCTAAAAGCTGGTCATTTGGTTTAAGTTTAAGCTAGTCAGCTAGAATGCCACTGCAGTTAACGGAGCTTGGGGGAAGACTGAGACCACGGTCCAGCTTGCCTTTCGTAGGTGCGGGGTGAATCACACTCTCACGGTGACTGCAGAAGAGGTCTAGCCCCATAAACCAGACAGCTAAGAGACCACTAAACAAGGGTCATCACACCTCAAAGGAAAGAAAGCAGAAAAACCAGAATATGGAGACTTTTAAGCTAATCATAGGAAATAATGAGGAGAGAGATATGTCTAAATTCTCCTTTTCTCTCTGTCAGGAGTTCTTACTCTGGATCTCAGAGAAGCACCTTCCTCTGAGGGATTCACGGTCCTGAGCTCTGTCCTTCAAAAGGCAAGCAGGTGAGTCCTTTCTCCCAAAAAACAGAAGCCCCTGCCCCAGTCTCTGTGGGCTGTGGTATTTGCATCAGAACTGGGAAATACAAGTTTAAGTCCCTGCTTAGCTTGTGATCCCAGTCCACCCGCCTGTTGCCGACAAAAATGAAATGTTTTTATTCAGGCACAGGTCAATAGATGATCAGGGAATATCTGTGGCAAAAGTAAGGATTCTTGTGGATTTCAAAGACCTCCTGGGTGAGGTGGTAGTTGAGTGGGAAGTTCTGACGGCCAGAATTTTGGATATAGGCAGCTGAAGTGGGATGCAGATGCTTAATTTTTTTTCTGGATCTAGTCTGGAGTGTCTCTGGGGCTCATTTTCCCATTTGGAAACATAAGTGAAAGCATGCCCTCAACAGCTGCCCTGTACGGTTACGAACCAAACGCTATGACTGGGTGCTGTGGCCCTTCCATATGTTCATGACCTCTCCTGCGGACGAGAAGAAGGCAGCTCACCCTATCATCCACAAGGACATATCACTGTCACCACCCTCAAATAAGGGATCTTGATTTTCTTACATTATACTCTTTCACTATGACTCTGGCACTACTGATCACTGCAATCCACTGCTCTTCAAACTGTCTTCCTTCAGCTAGTTGGTTTTGTATGTTAGTGAAGCAGCACAGAAAGGCCATAGCCTGAAGAAAAGGATAGCTGGGAGGGGTGCTGCACTTTCCAGGTTCAAGCAACCACATAAGATGTTTAAAATAACATGTGTGCTCCTTGGAAGCAGAGGGGATTCCTATTGTGTAATTCAGTATGGGCAAAATTTCAATCAAGAACTGAGAATTTGCATCTTATTTTATATTTTAAAATACAGAATAATTGAGGTTTAAAAGGACCTCTGGAGGTCTCTAGTGCAACCTCTTACTCAAAGCAGGGTTACATTCAATGCTAGGTTAGGCTGCTCGCCAAAGATGGAGATTCTGCAAACTCTTCCACTGCTTAATGATTCTCATGGTGAAACAGGTTTTCCATACAGGCAGCTGGGATTTCCTTTGCCACAACTTGTGGTCACTGCTTCTCATCATTCCACTATACACCTTAAGAAAAATCTCACTCTCTTTTCCCTTTAACCACCCATTAGCTACTTTTTGCTGGAGCATCCTGTAACTAACACTAGTAGACTGAATACTGAATTTGGCTTCTTAGACTCACCTGCCAAGTCCTTTAATGCCTGCAGACCCCCTTGCTAAACACTGCAGGCGAAGTCTTTCTACTGGGTCTGTGGTTTTAGTCAGGTTTCTTTTGGCCTGGATTGCCATCTCACGGTCATGCCTTGCTGTGCCCGGCATCTGGAAGAATCAAACCTCCCATGTAGCATGAATTCACATAAACAACACAGAATACTGAAAACTGCCTTACTATACTGAGCATCACAAACCCTCAACTTGTAAGGGTACTACCTCTTCTACTGAGAAATGCTTGATGCCCCCGTTTTGCAAATATTTAGGTGCTTCCTTACTTTTTCAGAGTTTGGGCTTGAGCTCTGATTTATCAGTGCTTCTTGCTTTGATACCTCACATCAGTTGTAACTGAAATATCAGCCTAGACACTCACTGTTTTGAGTTATGGGAACAACCTGGATCTGTGTAGTCGCATGCTTTCCTAACTCAAGCCATTGACAGGGTCTATTGAGCTCTGCTTTGGACTTGGTAGGATTAAAAAGTTAGTAGAGAAGAGCTCAGAGAAGGCTTCTCTAGCACACCTGCAAGTCTAAAGAAATTTCTGAAAGGAGAGAAGCCAAGCAGCCATCCCTTGCAAAAGGTCATCAGGACAGAGGGGGCAGCTCCCACCCCAAAATTCCTGTGGAGCAGGTAGTCTGGACTGTGCCTAGAGCTGTGGGGAGAGGCCTGGTGATTAAGTCCAACATTCAAATAACCAGGGCATTTGGTGCTGGCAGCTCTCTCCTCAGGATGTGTTTTGACTCTCTTCTATTTCCTTTTACTTATATCGTTTTCTCAAAAGGGGAAATTGTCAGAGGAACTGAACTTTTTCTTTTCGCCGAGTGAAAGTAATTGCTTTGATCTGCGCTACGTGGGTCATCAAACCTGAAAGGAGAGCTAAGAAAAACATACTATGACCTTAGCCCATCGGCAAATAATGAAGTGTAGCTAGGAATTTGTTCTGCCTCCCATGTAAGAACATGCTGAAAGGCAGGTCAGCACAGACAGGAGAGCACTGTTGCCTCTGGAGACTGTACCTGCAACAGCCCTATTGAAACAGTCCTCTGCCATGCCAGATCTGCAATAGCGTTCCCACTCAGGAAGAACTGCGACAGCATAAATTGTAGCCCTGGGTACAATTGTAGCCCCTGGTACTTTTTTCTTATATCTGCTTTTGTTCCTATTTCTTATATTTTGCTCCTATTTTCTTGTATTTACAATGTTCCTATTTAGTTCAAATCCTCCAGAGCAGGGTTTTCTCACTTTATGCACATGAGCAGCTATCACAGTGAGACTTTATCTCACCTAAGGACACTCTGTGCTATTTTAACACAACCAGTGAACAAAATAGTACTTTAGACTTGCACAGCATTTATCACTCCAGGATTTCAGGACTCCACAAACAGCCAAGAGCAGCGCACACAGACTGGCAGTGGGTCATTCCCTCTCACATAAGGATTACTTGTGCCACCTGCTAAGAAAAGCAGCAGGACTGCCGCTGCTCATACTGCCATTTTAGGGCCGCGTCAAATCCTGACCCCCAGGCACATGAAAGCTTTTATGCAACTGCCGGCCACGGAGGGTAGATGCTTCTCTGTAGTTCCCCATACTGACATCTGGACTGAAGTCCAGTCTACTGACATCTTCCCCATTCGAGAGAAGGATGTGAAACCTGTGTGGGCAATGGTGACAAGTATAAACTCAAGTTCCCATCCTTGTCCGGCAGGTTTAGTTCCTTCTGCATCGCAGGCTGGAACTGCAGAGGGAAAGCCTGCTCATGACCAGGACTGTAACTCTAGAGCCTGTCTGCTGAATGTGCAGATCACAAAGGCCCCCCAGATATTTTCCAGCCTCAAAAGCATCACAGGACCAGAATACAGTGTGCAGAGAGCCACGGCGGGGCTGTGCTGAGTTAGTGCAGATCCCTGGCACAGAGGAAGCTCTGTCCTCTTCTTTGTAATGAGGGTGCTCAGGGAAGGAGAGAAGGAAGATGGATGGCTCTGGAAGGCATTATCACCCTGTCAGTGCGCATCACATTTCAGATCTTGGCATCATTCCATGTGCTGCAGTTGAACTGAAATGTTAAGAAAAAACGTCTGAGAAATCTGGAATTATACTGTTTCATCTAAACTACTCCACTCCTCTCCGCAGAGCACTGGCTACAACAGCTTGTAAATGTCACGTGCATTTAACTTTGGCATCCCAGTCACTCAGACCACACCAGCTAGGCTTGGAAAAATATAAAGAGAAAATGTATTTTTTCCTAAATTGGTTTCAGTACTAGCTCATTGCAGAAGTTGAGAGCAGCACAAAAGAGATCATTTCAGCTCTTACTTCACCCAGAGTGAGCAAAGTTCTCAAAGGAACTTATTAATGAATGACCAAAAAAAGCCTTAGCGCTATATTAGATCAGCAGTCAAAAATGTTTCTGCAAACAATGACCTGTCCTTAAGAGGAAATTTTAACCTGGCAAGAATATAAAGTACAGTGAGTTTACAAAAATAATGTGCAAACTATATTTATATCACATAATAATGTGCTATGGTGTTTTATATATATAATGCCTATATATATTTCTATATATAGTGTGCATATAGGACACACAGCATATATATAGTGTGCACAGTACTGTGCAGCATGTCTCTATGCTCCCTATACATTTATATAGATATATACATACTATGCAAACATGATCTGAAAGGATGACATCATTTGTATCCACTGAGCACTGCACAAATCTTCACAAATACATGCCACAGAAAGAATTTAGTCTCCCCTTGCCTTTAGTTCGGTGGAGCCATTTCCAATATGCTGCAGTGAGCATCATGTGATCATTACAGTGAGATTCATGAACTGAGGCTATCTAATATATCTATTATGGTTTCCTGTGCATCAATAAATGCCACTAAAATGTGTCAATCATCAGTTATCTCTGCATTAAGTATACAATTTCCTTCTCTACCTAAAAACATTTCTAGCTGAGAATCCACCATCTCTAGGTTAAGTTGTTCCAGTAGTTAATCATTTTCATTTTAAAATACATGTTTTGTTTCTAGTCTGAATTTTCCCCCTCATTAGATGCTATCATAGTTTCTCCTACTAGATTAGAGAGCTACCCGTTCATAATCTGTCCTCATGGAAACATCTGAAGGCCCCTCTCAACCCTCTTCTAGCTAACTGGAAAGACTGAGTTTATAACTCTTGCTACAGAGTTGGTTTCCAGATGTTAAACAATCCTGCTGTTCCTGAACTTTCCCAAATTTTCTAGTATTCTTTTTAGGATGGGACGGAGCACTCTAATAATCTCACTAATGCCACAGACAGAGATAATATCACAGCTCTTCGCCCACGCATCATAATTAAAAACATTAATACTAAATATTTCTGCTGCTCTTCATGAATATACATCCTCTTAGATATTCCATACCAAAATCGCCAACACCATGTTGCAACAGCAAACATAGCAGCTGAAGCCTACTCATATAGATATTTCACTTAAATGACACATTACCCTAAAGCCTCTTAAACATGACCTGAATTTGTATGCCACAGAACAGCATGTCTTTGAGAAACCTTACTACACATTCAATGAATACAGAAAACCAAACGAAATATAAAACCCAATACGTGTGAGCCTGATCCACAGTAACATGTACATCATCGGAGCGTCCTCTTTTCTGTTGGCTGCTGGTTTAAGCCAAAGATAAAACCGTTCCACAGCTGTTGAAAGACAACACTGTACGTTAAGGAAATAGATTCTGAATCCTAGCAAGAATGGAGCAGTCACAGAGCTTCGTGTGTTCTTTACTCTCCTTTCATTTTGCTTTCTATATATGCTGCTTCTTCCAAGTCTCTACTGACTGAACTATGAAATATGGGGCAAATGAAATACCTAATCCTGTCTGTGCTTAAAATGAGGGGCAAAATTCTGCTGGTATGTGGTGGGAGCAGGATCTGATCTCAGGCTTTGAAAGGACATGAGCTGCAGAGCCAACAGACAATAAAACAAGATGTGACCTTGGAAAAACGATGACGTTTGGTTATTCATGCAGATGTTCCACAGGCCATTTAAATTGAATGGCGTCTGAATTCTTACTAGGACAAACCCTGAGAAGAAAAAATCCTTGGGGCAATATAACAGCAGTACTCTTCAGGGTGACAGACATCTACATCCTAAGAGACCATCCAGCAAGAAATACTGATGCCTTCAACTGGAACCTCTCCAGGAATACGAGAAATTTCCTCTGAGGGATTATTTGGTCTTCTCCTCCCATACGCTGTAAACATGTTCAAGAAGGCACCTTATTGTGCCTGCATCCCACATGCCTCCATACAGTGACAGCGCAGAGCAGAGGTGACTTCCATAGGAGATGTATCGAAAAGAGTTATTGCTTCTTTATACTGTCCTCCTTTACCCTCTAACAAAGGGGAGGTAAAAGAAGCATCCAGCCTTTCATTAACCTTCTCTCAAACCTTCGGAGTACCTGGTCAGAGCTCAAATAGCACTATGTTCTAGCAGGTAAAAAAAATTTCAAAACTAGGGCCCAGATCTACTGTCCTTGGTAGAACTACAGCAGAAACAAAAGTTGGCCAGGAAGCTGTCACAGAAGACCATCAGATTAAAATAACATGATAGATACAGACCTCATAGATAAACACAGTTGCTCAGACCCTGCACCTGCAATAGCATTCGTCAGCTTGGGCCCCTGTGCAGCCTCCGCTCCCTTCCTGTTCTCCAGCGATTGCAGCTCTGTGCTGGCAGAGGAGACTGGAGGAGCAGATGAGACTGGAGATGAGAGTGGCCTTGTACTTTGTTTCGAGGTGTCACTAGAAGGCTGTGATTTCATCACCTCTTTGTGCAGAGGGCATGCTGTTGTGTGAGATGGATTTAAAATATTGCATGAAGTAACTCTTAAGTAATACGAGAACTAAATGCCATGCCTTAGGAGGGACTGATTGCTCTTCTCTGATACTTCTGTGATACTCTTCTCTGGAGAGGAAGAAGGCTTGTCCTGATCCCTTGTCCTCTGTTTCTTCTCTATATACTAACTGTAGGCAGCTATTCCTACAGACTGAAGGCTGGTTTTAAAGCATCTGGCCTCCCTACGCACTGAATAAGGGAACGAACGTGCACAGCATAGTATGCGACAGTGAACAGACATCTAAAAGATAATCACTGCAAGATCTAGTTCTTCAGTACCTAAGTCCCTTTTGGGGTCTAACATGAAGCAATGACAGATATAGTCAAGATCTGCTAAATATAACAATTCTGTGTCTACCTTACAGATACGTTATATATGGCCATTAATAAAACAAGAAAAGGTCATAATTATAATTTTGCACATTTTCAATTCTTATTGTTCTTCCAGGGTCATCAGCTGTCTCCCATATGTGAAAAAGGGGCTGGCTGATGTAACAGTTAACACTAGAGAGAGTTTCGTTTTGAGCAACAGCCTGGGCTTTGAGCAATTACAACACCCCAAGTTTTTAGCATTTTTTGTTTCCACTAGCAATGTTGTGTTGTGCAGGCTGAACAGAAATGATCGCATTTCTTCTCGGTAAAAATGAAACCCAACATTTCGTGCTGGGTTTTTCAGAAGAACCTCAAGGTCATAAGTACCCAGATCCCTTTTTAAGCCTAAGGCTTAGACCTGGAAAGAGCAGGTTTAGCCTAGGCCAACTTCCTGCTCAGCACCATCCCTTCATACCCAACCCCCCCAGCAGAGCCCACGTGGGTCTTGTGGAAATCCAGCCCTTATTTTCCTGAGAAGGAGCCCGGTGCGGCAGCTATAAACCCGACTCTTCTCTGGACGATCGCACAGCCCTGCAAGCGCCTGTCCCGGTTGACCTCACCAGTCCCACATCGTTTCTGAGCAAAAGACCTCCGCGTCTGTGAAGAGGTTAAGTGGTGTAAACCAATTACCTGCATTTCTTTCTTTCTTATACCATCACCGAATCACTGCAAGCATGGAAACCGCGTCGAGCGCTTGCCAACCGTCCGGGCACGTCTTTACAGATCTGGCTTTCCAGGCCCGCCAACCCCACGGCCCACGCTCTACTGACCGGTCAAGTCCGCGCAAGCTAGTAAAGGAAAGAGAAAATCCTCTACCTGGAGCGTTTTTCTGTAACTCGTGGCTTCGGGGAGCAGGTGGGAGGCTGGTGCCTCCCCGCC